GTGACTGTATCCTGCTCATTGGGCATCGATAGCGGATGGGACTGGGACATCATCAGACACCTTATGACAGATCCTGCCCAAATGAGCTTGCAAGACTTAGGCAAAGGGAATGAAAAGGTTTTACCAGGGCCAGGACCTCTTCTGTAACCCATGCTGGCTTTCACAGTGTGCTGCAGAGGAGCCAGATGCAGAGGAAAAGGGTTCTTCTGGTGCAGACACGGAGGAAATGGATGGTTCTTACTGGAAGATCACCCATGAAGGCATGCCATGGCTGGGTGGGGTGACAGCTTGGCCTTGCTGCCTGCTGGCTGCGGTGACTCAGGCTCGTACTCTGCTCTCTGTTGCATGCCTGCAAGTAATTCCTGCCATCAACGACCAGCTCCATCTGATAATCTCAGCACACTTGTAAAAGTGACATCACACATGGCTGCACACCTCTTGCTGCCTTAAGTTCCCGTAGCTCTTTTGGGTGGTCTCTCTTCAGGGCCACCATAGAAGTGGCATTTTTAAATCTTCCTTTATTTGCAAAAGTATAAATCAAATCCCATCACAGCCTCTCCAAAGCTAATTTAGTACCAGGGAATGCTTACAAAAATAGTGTGTTGCCAAGTGTAATGGTAACTTGGGTGAAGACTGTTGTGGCAACTGCTTAACAATTGCAGTCATTTGTTATCCCTCATCCTTTTCCCTGGACTTTTAATCTCCCTGTTGCTGTTATGGGCTTGTCTGCTGCTTTTCTTTTCGCTCTTCTATTACTTGTGGGAGGGAAGAACAGGGAATGGTTTCATGTCACCAGGAGGCTGTTACTTTGATAGCAGAGGGCTACTAAATGCCTTTCATAAACTAGCCCTGAGCATGTGTGTGCACAGTGGGTCTGTGAATGGTGTTTGGCCCTTTTCCTGATTTCTTCTCTAACACGAACTGCAAGTTTTCACTTCCTCCAGAACAGCCCAACATAAAGTAAATCATCTTTATAGATTTATTGCTATTACTCCTTTGGAGGGGAGAAGGAAGGAAGGAAAAAGATGGGAAATTGTGACCGTTTTTGGAGGCATTTAGTGTTCTGTGTTCTGCCTAGATTATGCACTAGAAACAAACTCTCTGTCTTAACGTTACCACTGTTAATGCAAAGCTGTAATTTACACTAAGTGTTTAGAACCAGGACCGCAATAACTTAATTAAAAGTCAGTGTGGTAACCAGAGTGTCCCCAGCTTCTGCGTGGTGTCGAGCTCTATCTGCTTGGCTCCCAAGCCAAGTTGCCAAAGGTTTCCAGTGTTCCTGCTGAAACCCTGGGGATGGGAAGAGTGAGGCTCACTGCTCTGCTGAGCGCTGGCATCCCTGTAGCTATTGTAGTCTGCAACTGTACACACAGCTCTTTGGAGAAGGAGGCTGGCTGCCTTTTTCCTCACCAATTTAGACACTCCGTCATTTTCAGTGGTTTCCCACCCGCTAACGAGAATGAACACATGGAATGTGTTTCTTGTTGCAGATACAGACATGAATAAGATAAAGCATCTTTCTGGACACTCATTGCTCTCCCTTTGAAAGGGTCACTTGTTTGCTGCTTCACACCGGGCACAACCAGCAGCAGGAGGTTGAAGTGGTGAGAACAGGGCATGAATGGTCCCTATCAGGGGAGAGTAGACACTCCAATTATCATAGACTCCTAGAATGGTTTGGGTTGGAAAAAAACCTTAAAATAATCTAGTTCCAACTCCCCTGCTTCTCTTTTTTCCCCCCTTTGTCTGCAGGGGGGGGAAATTATCATTTCTTGATCTTCCACAGCTAATGGAAATCCTCTGGAAAGCAGAAACTCCCAAAGCTTTGGGAGAGGTCAAGTGCTTGCCTGATGCCAACTAGGCTAAATCACATGAGCCCTGCTCTGATAAACAGTAACTTGTTTTCCATAAGGAAGGCTTGTGACAGGTCAGACCATGTCCTTATGATACTGCAGCCTTAGAAATAATTCTAATAGTGACTCATAAGGAAAGCCTTTTATTCATAATGCTCCTTGACTATACTACATTGTAAAGAGGCTGTACAAGTTACAAGGCGAATGCAGTCAGCTCCTGTTAAGAAGTTCTTACCCTCTAAAAGCCAAACTAGCAAAAAAAGCCCAATGAATGAGATGATCTTACATGATATTCCCATAAAGCACACAGCAATGCCACCAGCACTAACTTTGATGACTATATTAAGGGGAAAAAAAGGAGCAATACTCCCTCCTGTTGGTCTTTTGATACTGATGGTGTGTTGGAGGAAGTGTTTGAGGTTTGTCTTGGAAGGGGGATGTTCATGGAAGAGCCAGTCCAGTTTGTGTAATCAGCTGGTGAAATGGTTATCCTGTTTCAACATTTATGAAAGCCTCCTGGAAATGTGTGCAGTGTTTTTGCTTTCACTGTCAAAACTTCATTAAGAAAATCAGAACCCTCATCCTGTTTTACCAGCTTTATTGGAGGAGCCACTGGTACTCCAGTATCCAATAACCACTCTTCCTCATTGAGATACAGTGTGGGAAGACACAGAGTTTGTCCCTAAGGCTGAGGCTGGCTAAATAGAATCATAAAATGGTTAGGGATGGAAAGGACCTTAAGATCATCTAGTTCCATGGGCAGGGACACCTCACACTAAACCATGCCACCCAAGGCTCTGTCCAACCTGGCCTTGAACACCGCCAGGGATGGAGCATTCACAACTTCGCTGGGCAACCCGTTCCAGTGCCTCACCACCCTTACTAGCTGCTCTTGCTGTCATATTAGTGGCCTGATCTTAATCTGAAGCTCCCAAGCAGCTGGAGAGGCTCTGGGAATGAGTGGGGATAATGATGATAGAATCATAGAGTCATAGAATCGTTAGGGTTGGAAAGGACCTTAAGATCATCCAGTTCCAATCCCTCTGCCATGGGCAGGGACACCTTACGCTAAATCATATCACCCAAGGCCTCGTCCAACCTGGCCTTGAACACTGCCAGGGATGGAGCATTCACTACTTCTTTGGGCAACCCATTCCAGTGCCTCACCACCCTAACAGGAAAGAATTTCCTTCTTATATCCAACCTAAACTTCCCCTATTTAAGTTTTAACCCATTACCCCTTGTCCTATCACTACAGTCCCTAATGAAGAGTCCCTCCCCAGCATCCCTATAGGCCCCCTTCAGATACTGGAAGGCTGCTATGAGGTCTCCACGCAGCCTTCTCTTCTCCAGGCTCAACAGCCCCAACTTTCTCAGCCTGTCTTCATACAGGAGGTGCTCCAGTCCCCTGATCATCCTCGTGGCCCTTCTCTGGACTTGTTCCAACAGTTCCATGTCCTTTTTATGTTGAGGACACCAGAACTGCACACAATACTCCAGGTGAGGTCTCAGGAGAGCAGAGTAGAGGGGCAGGATCACCTCCTTCGACCTGCTGGTCACGCTCCTTTTGATGCAGCCCAGGATACAGTTGGCTTTCTGGGCTGCAAGCACACACTGCTGGCCCATGTTCAAAACCCCCAAGTCCTTCTCCACGGGGCTGCTCTGAATCTCTTCTCTGCCCAGCCTGTAGCTGTGCCTGGGATTGCTCCGACCCAGGTGTAGGACCTTGCACTTGGCTTGGTTAAACTTCATGAGGTTGGCATCATCCCACCTCACAAGCATGTCAAGGTCCCTCTGGATGGCATTCCTTCCCTCCAGGGTATCAACCGAACCACACAGCTTGGTGTCATCAGCAAACTTGCTGAGGGTGCACTCAATCCCACTGTCCATGTCAGCGATGAAGATGTTGAACAAGACCGGTCCCAACACCGATCCCTGAGGGACACCACTCGTTACTGGTCTCCAGCTGGACATTGAGCCATTGACCACAACTCTTTGTGTGCTGCCATCCAGCCGGTTCTTTATCCACCAAGTGGTCCATCCATCAAATTGATGTCTCTCCAATTCAGAGACAAGGATGTCCTGTGGGACAGTGTCGAATGTTTTGCACAAGTCCAGGTAGATGACATCAACTGTTCTACCCCTGTCCATCAGTTCTGTAGACCCATCATAGAAGGCCACCAAATTGGTCAGGCAGGATTTCCCCTTAGTGAAGCCATGCTGGCTGTCACCAAGCACCTCGTTGATTTTCATGTGCCTTAGCACAGCTTCCAGGAGAATCTGCTCCAAGATTTTGCCAGGCACAGAGGTGAGACTGACTGGTCTGTAATTCCCTGGGTCATCCGTTTTCCCCTTCTTGAAAATGGAGGTTATATTTCCCTTTTTCCAGTCATCGGGAACTTCACCTGATGATGATGATGGTGGTTGTGGTGTGCCTGATCCTGGGCACAGCATGTCACTGTGCTGGTGAGGAAGGGTCTGGTGCCCTTTGGAGGTGTCTGGGGCCGCTACTGCTCTGCCAGAAGTTACAAGAGGTTACAAGAGAATCCTTGTTTTCACATGGGTGACTTGAACCCCTCAAAACTCGTGCTGAGCCTCAGAGACAGAAAAAGTGGCAGCAGCCTGAGCTGGACTTGCTCTTGCATCACTGCAGGGGCTGCCAGGCTCTGAGAGTGGTGCTTGAGGTCTTGTTTCAGTAAATGTGTAAGCTGCAGGTTGTGCATTTGGGAAATACAGTGGCATGATGGCATGTGGTGGTTTCCTTGAGAAACCAGCCCTATCTGGTGACACTTCATATCTGCTGGCTCCTCTTTGGTGCACCTGAGTCAAGTGCAAGTGAGCCAGGCCTTGGAGGCCACATTCTCCGCCAAATTTATGAAAACATATCTAAAAGACAAGTGCTTCCAATACGCAGTCTCAAACCTTAGGAGACGTCAGAGAGTCCCTATGGGTGTTTAACCCATTGGGTGCCATGGGAACTTGGTGAATCTCCTTCCTGCGCAGCTGCTGTGTTTCATTCCATCACTGAAGGTAACAGCTTTGCATACCATAAAATCTCCAGTGTGAGATTTTCTTCCTAAATTTGACTTCTTTTTGGTTATATTTTAACCTTCTGAGGCTGTGATGACTTCTGCTTTGTTTTCCCAGGTGCTCAGATAAGCTGCTTTGCACCCAGCTCCTTCTCCTGGCGACAGGCTGCTTATGTGGACTCCTACTGCTGGGCAGCTGTGCAGCAGAAGCAACCATCCCAGAACAACTTAGAAAACATCCCTCTGTGGCTGCATAAAGTATGTACAGATCTCCTTTTCCTGGAAAAGTTGTCCTGCTTAGAAACCTGCCTTTGCCTCACTTCCTCCTCTGCTCTGATACAGTCCTTGGCTTTGACTTCATTTTTAAAGAGAATGTTTTCTTTCCCTTACTTCCAAAGAGGGTAGTGCTAGAGGAGGTATTTTCTGCCTTTAAATAAAGGGTCACCAGTTATCTGACACAAGAGTAATGTGAGTGTTGCTCTGTTGCCCTGGAGCTGAGTTCCTCACCTGGCTTTAAGCATGAGCTGTTTTAAAACCAGGAGAAAGGATGAAACAACTGCCCTAATGCTTTATCAAAAGCTTATTTAGGAAAAGGGGGTAGTAAAAACATACTGTATTTTTATTGTGTTATTCTTGGCCAGTTGTTCATTCAGAGAATGAATTGTTCATTCTCTTTTGGGAGAGATGAAATACATCACTGGTACCAACAGGCTTAACTCCTGTCTTCAGTGTGCTCTTCCTCAGGCTGTTCCCTTGCAAACCATGAGTCTGGCTGCTTTCACTGATCCAGGTGAAGCAGCATCATACTGAATGCACAGTAAGAGGCTTATTTTATGGGTAAAAAGTGCAATAGATATCAAGATACTTGAGTGAGCTCAAAGATGACCTTTGGCAGGAGCTACAAACTGAGTAAGTGCCATGCCAGTGCCTGGAGCTGACTCATTGTAGGAGGCAGCGTCACCCTGCTTGGGCAGTGCTGATGCCAGAGTAAGAAATGCTGTTGGAGCTCTGCAGATGTGGGGTGTTGTGCCTGCCTTCCCCAGCCCTTTTATTACCTGCTCCTTCTATCACCTGGGAGCAGAGGAGAAGTTAGAGGGATCTGAAGCCTGGGACCTGCAGCACCTGTATTTCTGGGTTTTGCTGGTGTATGCTGTACCTCAGCTTATATTATCCAGTCAGCTCTGCTGAAAGACTATTCAGGACTGTATCCAATTCATTTCCTGACTCAAATCACTAACAGTAATGATTCACTACTACCTACTCACAGCCTTGACCCCGTGGTCTTGTGTTTCATGAATGTTAAAGCCAGTCTGTTGGTATCTAGCCTCCTCCAGCGCTCGCTTCAGCCAGAGCTTCTACAGAGGCCAGTTGAAGCTGCTGGGACATGTCACAATGCATGGGTGAAAATTCCACTTGCAAACCTGGATACTTTGCTGCCCCTTTCTCTTGAGGGAATGAGTTCTTGTTACCCCATCTCCTTATCTTGATTTTTATGCCATAGTCACCTGCTGGTAGCTGAAGTCTCCTCATTTGCTGGCCATGACTAATAGCTTAAGCAGTCGGACTTTATTATGCAACCCGTGTTAACTTGCTGACCAGCAAATCTCAGGAACTGATGCAGGGCCCTTCTTCCCACAGTTCCTCCATGATAGCTTAATGGTGTGTGATGTTTCCTTGTAAATACCCTGCAGACTGGCTGCAAGAAGCATGTCTGAGCAGCTGAGTCAGAAGCTGGGTGCCACATCTTAACCTCCTAAACCCATGCTTAGCCACTTATCCCTCTGAGCCGGGCACTGGGAGCTGCAAATGGTGTTTAGTGGCCAGTATTAATTAATATCCTTCTACTGACTGTTCATCAGCTTCCACACAGGAGCAGTGGTACAGCTACTAACACTGATGTTTGGTTCCCACTGTGGTATCTGAAGGAGTTTGGCTGTTGTTTGCCTGCAGGGCCAGCAGCAGCCTGCTGTACTGCTGGGAGGCTGCCATGGGGCTGATAACCCCTGCAGGAAGGCAGGACTGGGGTTGTCTCCCCAGCCTTGCACTGTAAGGGATGCACAAGCTCATTGTTGTGCAGATTTTGGCAGAGCCCATTTGAGGGAGCACAGTGATGTTGGTGGGAAAAAGGAACCTTCCTAAGCTTGGGTGAGAGAAGGCTTGGCTCTGCAGTGCAAGGCAGGGATGCACATACAAGGACAGGGGGATAATTAGGAATTAGGCCCAGTTTTAATTAAGACAGCACCTAAAGCTTTTTTTCTGCTTGCTGGGCAGCAGTGCAAAGCATCTCAGGTTCTTTCCAATACTCTGACTCATTTACCATCTCACTGCATCGGCATGCTGGAAGGCTCCTTAAAAATCCACTTACAGAGGCGTTATATTACAGTCTGGAGGGAATGAGATTGTAGGCCCCAGTGTGATTGAAATGCATCAATTTCCTTCTGGCACACTCTCTGTGCTGTCGGAAGTGCTGTCAAAAGTTTTGTCCTAGAACAGTACTCAGTATAGTACAGAGAGAAAGTAGGACCCTGAGCTCTTTGGTGAAGAAGCTAACTTGCAGCAACTTGCCCTGCTTTTGTTCTAGGCATGTGGTTGCTTTGAAGGATTAACAAAACCAGGCTGCATTACAGAAAACTTTAAACCTTCCCATTTCCTTCCTGTTTCAGAGTAGAAGTTTGCACTGTATTCTTCATCAGTAAAATGTATGCTTCAGTTTGGGGCAATCCCTGAAGCTCGGGTGCCTTTACCTGCTGTCGCTTCTGCTCTGGGAGATCTCTCCCAGCAATTGAATTTATCAGTTTGGAAGCTTGTTTTGGAGCGGAGAGGAGGAGCATACTACAACTTTCTGGCTTACCTGACTCTAGTGCACTCCTCGAGGGTGCCCAGCGCCTCTCTCCTTGGAGAGCAGCAGTTCTGAAATGTCCAGTGATGCTGGAATAACTTCACACTGGACAATCCTTAGCAGGAAGCAAAATGAGTTGGGTACTCAATTGCTGAGTACACAATTGCTGAAACAAACAAGTCTGTTTCCTGGTAGAAACAGACTGTCTACAGGTAAATAAGGGGAAAGAAGAGACTATGGCGTGTCCTTGTCTATATTCTTAGTTTAATGCCAAGGCTTCCTCCTCTTCATCAGTGAGGAAGCCGATATATAATCATTTCTTCTGGGGTTTTCCATTAAGGCTTAATTCCCTCAAGAAGATTCTTGTGTGTATCTAAAGTGTTGGAACAGAGATACTGATTCCTGAACGGGTGGTGAAGAGGGGCAGACAGTGGTGATGTGGCTGGAAGAGCTATGTGTTCGCTCAATCTGTGCAGATCGTTTGCTTTTTGTCTCTAAAGGTGAGTGCTCCACCTGACAGCTGGCTTTGATAAAACTTAGCTTGATCATTAAGTGGAGTGAAGTAAGCTTTTGTCCATCGTGAGAGGGCCATCCCAGTCCTTGCAGTCTAATGGAGGAGGAGACTGCACTGTGCCACCTTTTTAATCCATACATAGTGCACAGAGAAGTTTATACAAACACAAGCAGAAGAACAGTGAGCATCATCTACTGGCTCTTGGTAGCTGCCAGACAAGATAGCAACCAAGCAAGCTGAGGGGTAGCTGGGCATTGAGTGATGGCCTCTCTCTAGCCCTGAAATCTGGATTGCTAGAGTGGAGCTGCCTCTGATCAAGAGATTTCTAGGGATTTTGTTTTAAGTCCTCTATTTCCTAGTATTATTATTAATTGGTGAGAATCAAGGAGGAAGATAAAAGTAAGAAAGGTGAAGGGAGTAGATGGTTCTTCAGAAGAAGGTGGATTCATACCAGTGTGAAACACAGGGAAATGGTTCATGTGACTGACACAAAGAAGAAAAGAAGAGGGCTTTGCACATGGCCCAGCCAGGAGAGGTCAGTTGACTGGCTCAGACCTTTGTAAAAGTGCAGGGCAAGTGCTGCAGGACCTGTTCAAAACACTGCATACAAGGAGTGGGTCTGAAGTCTTTGTATGCATGAAGTGAAACTTATCTTGTTGACAATACTCACTGTTTGTAACAGAAGTAAGATTTAGCATGTGGGTTGTTCTTTGAATTGCTTGTCTGTAAATGCACCAACCCCTGCCTTGCCCATGAGGTTCTCTGTTATGTTGATGTCATGGCTATAATCATAATTGTTATCTGGTTCTTGTTACTCACTTTTTGTGATTTAAACAACTTAGTTTGCTGAGGATTCCTCAGTTTTCTCTTAGAAAACCCATCCTGGAGGGATTAGGGGCTGGCAGATCAAGGAAACCTGAATGCAGATGCATTTGTAAACTGTTCTTAGAGTGTAGCATTAGAGCTACTTCAGTCACATTAGTCTTACTAACTGAAACTGGAGAAATACAGCTTTTAAGCTGCATCAAAACAGAAAGTAAGTAACAGGTGGGGTAAAAATGGTCATGTATGGTTTGAGATCCACTTGAAATTCTGACTGTATCTCAACCAGAATGATGAGTCATTTATAGCTCATGTTTCTGCCCTGAATACCAATGAAACATCTCCCATTGACTCAAACAGGAATGAGGTCATATCCAGAGGGAGCTTAATTCCTTTGCTTCTGGAAACATGTCATTGCTGACATTAGCCTGTTTTGGGGCTGGTGCCTTTGCTTAGGCTCTGTCCGGTGGCAAATAGAAATGTGAAAGTGAAGGAGCAGACACCTCACCAGGATCTTATATTTTAATGAGAAATATTTTCATCTGAAGAGAGTGAGAACAGTTCAGTGCTTCCTTCTTTGTGGAGTACTGCACGCATTTTCTCAAGGCTGTAAGTCAGACCTGTGCAACTTAACAGCTTTGTGCTGTTGGACTTTAAGTTACTGTTTCACCACTATTAGGTATGGTAGAAATCAGAATGCTTGCAGGCACTTTAGTAGTATTTGCCCAGGGGAAATAAGGACTGAAGGTTAGAAAACTGTTGTTTTCTAAATGCCGCTAAAGTGGTTCTCATCTATCAGCCACCTTTATCCAGACCTTGGCAAGCTTTCTGTAGATTAGGTCCTTGAAAACGCCTTTTGCGTCACACCACTCTTAGTAGCTATATGTTCTTTGGGTGATAAAAACATATTTGAGCTTATAAATAAGTTTTTTAAATGCCCTCTTCATCTGCTGTGTATTTACTGTACCTTAGCGCAGTTAAGGCTGGGGATGTTACATATAGACCGTTCTGTGGTTTATTCTTACTTTTCCTTTCACCTTCAGGAAAGTGTGATGGTAATGCTTCCACTGTCTTACGTGCTTA